ATCCTCCACCAGGCGAGGATTACTCTGCCTCCAGCTGTGCCGCCTCCACCCAACAGCAGGACCCAGAGTCCAAACGCTGGGTTACTGTGCGTACAGTCTGCTAACCTGTGTCTCACCTGTAACTGTTGTGCAGGTGTCCCCCGAGGGTGGAGGAGAAAAAGGAGGAGGTGGTAAAACGTGCCTTCCCCGCGGCTCCTTCCTGTCCTGCTCCTCAGATAACACCATCCGACTGTGGAGCATTGACGGGCACAGCGCCCCCCACAGGAACATCCTGAGCAACGTAGGACAGCACACACCTGCACATCGTACACCTACACCTGTGCTACACTGACCTGTGGCCTCCGTCCCCGCAGGACCTGCAGAAGGTCGTGTACGTGGACGACAACGTAACTGGCCTCCTGGACACGGAGAGCGTCAGCATTGCTGCGGGTACAGAGAAGGCGGGGTCATCGGTGACGGAGGGGCAGCAGGTGGACCAGAGCAGGGCGGGCATTAGGACCCTGAGAGTCAGCCCCGATGGACATCACCTGGCCTCTGGAGATCGCACGGGGATCCTCAGGTGAGTGGAGGTGGGCAGGTTGCCACGGAAATGGTGCGACGTTGGTGTGACGTTGGTGTGACGTTGGTGTGACGTCGGTGTGTTTTAGGATCCACGACCTGGACGACATGGAGGAAATTCTGAACGTTCAGGCTCACGACTCCGACATCCTCTGCCTCGAGTTCTCCAAACCGGACACAGGTGAGCAACCATCCCAGACCAGTGCGGGAACACAACGCAGCGCCGGAAACAGTTTAAATATATCCTAAAGAAAAGATATAAATACTTTAAAGATGTTTTCACTCTGTGAAACTAACGCTGTGCTATAAACCCAACATCCGAAAACTAAAATATTCCATCACCGCTCTTATTTTGAAATGGGTTTTAGTCATAGCTTTATTTTGAAAAATGTTCTTTGCCTTCAAGCCTTGAATGTACAGACAACGATTACCTTAAAGAAGGGGTTCAAACTCCAGGCCTCGAGGGCCAGGGTCCTGCAGGTTTTAGATCTCACCCTGGGTCAACACACCTGAGTCCAGCCTCTGGACACGAGGTCATTCAGAGGTCATTCAGAGGTCATTCAGAGGTCATTCAGAGGTCATTCAGAGGTCATTCAGCCATTTAAATCAGCTGTGGTGAATCAGGGACGCGTCTGCAGGACACCGGCACTCGAGGCCTGGAGATGGAGATGGACACCCCCTGCCTTAAAGGGAGGAAGCGTAGACGTTTACCTAACATTACCCCGCCCCTCCCCTGCTGGTCTGACTTGATTTTGAAGGTCAGAGGTCAG